CCGTGTGACTTCTTCTTCTTCCCAAAGATGAAAATTCAGCTAAAGGTAAGGAGATTTGAGACGATAGAAGAGATTCAGGCAGAATCGCAGATGGTGCTTGACAGGCTGACAAAGAAAGGTTTCCAGGGATGCTTCCAGGCTTGGCAGCGGCGCTGGGATCGTTGTGTTCACTCCCAGGGGAACTACTTCGAGGGTGATGGATGAATTTAATACCTGAGATAAGTGTACGGGTTTTTCTAGGCGCAGTCTTGAAACTTTCCGATCACACCTTTTATAACCCAGCCAAGACACGAAGCACAGAACTCATGAATGTAAGTCTACAGCACTGCTACTAATCTGCTTGGCAACTGGACATCATAACCAGTTCGTAATAACAGAACGCATGAAAATATTTTGAAATATCATACAGGGGGTGGAAGACTTCAGTGATCTATAGATCTTGCACACGTGGGACACCCTCCTCGTAATCTTAGAACATGCCTGTACATATTCATGACCATTCCAGGGGAACAGTATCCACACTGAGTGCCGTTCAGTTGGGCAAGTCGGGCCTGCACTGGGTGGTAGCCTCTCCTTTTGTTTCCAATTCCTTCTACAGTGGTGATGGCCCAGCCATGACACGAAAACACAGAGACAAGACACTGGAAAGAAATAAAACAAGAAAAATTATGCACACCATTTGCCTTCTGTAATGTTCGAAGTGTCAAAACAGCTGCCTCTGAACGAAGTTCCCTCCTCCAGTCGCGAATATTAAATGAGTGTTGATGAAGATTCTTGTATTTACTGGGGGATACTGGGAACGCCCCGTTATTAAAGTTCCTGAGCACTGCGGGTCCCAATGATCTATAGACATTCGGTAGGACACCCTGGACGAGGGATCGGCCCTTCGAAAGGTCTCTACCTGTACACAGGACAACATCCATGGCTTGAGTGGGATTCGAACCCACGGTCACAGCGGCACAAGGCCCACGCCTCAGACCACGCGGCCACTGTTCAAAAATCAATTTACTTGGTTATGGTAATTAAAATCAATAAAAGACCAATAATTAAAGGTTCCGTAAGCCCTCTGGTTGGTTGGGTCCACTATTTGGGAAGCCTGAGGGGAAGAGACCTCTGGGGAGACCTAGACGTAGATGGGAGGATAATCTCAGGCGGGATCTATGGGAGATAGGAGTTGAAGGAGACTGGATTTTGTTGGCCCAGGACAGGGTCCGGTGGAGGGCTTTGGTTAATTCGGTGACGAACCTTCGGGTTCCGTAAGCCATATAGTTAGTTAGTTAGTTAATAGACCAATAATTAAGGATTCATATGCTTTTTGTCTTAAATTAGACTCTACGTTTCATTGAACCAAAGAATTTGTCGCTGTAACCTTAAAGTTCCTCTCGGTCTTTCTGACTGATTTAAGAGGGCGAATGCACTCACTGAGTTGACTGCGTAAGTCATCTCCTGTTTCTTGAACGGGTGTTCGGTCCTCACAGCCACCACACACGACCCACAGCCTCCTTCGTGACACATTGCCTTCGTACCTCTGAGGTTGGCGTGGTCTCTGATGAACGCGTTGAGTGAAGTGTGTGCTGGGAAGTTCTCGTCGACTGAAACACATCGCAAGAGAAAAGAGTACCACGAGAAACTCTGGAATCATGTACTGGTAGACTCCTGAAGATAACTGTAAAAAGTTACTGGACATTTTGCTGTGTTTAATGACACAGATGATTAATTTATTTCGATCTTAGATGATTAGTAAAAAAGATAAATTACCTGTGTACGTCTCTCCATTGATGCTAAATTTAACCTCATTTCCTGACCTGCAACATTGAAAATGATTTCAGGACTGATATTTTTTTATTTATAACAGAAGACATCGTTTGCTTTTAAAAACTGGAATAATAAATGAGCCTACAATGAAATATGAAATACATTTTTGATGAATCTGCAGCATTGTCCGTCCATTTACGTGTTTTAAATTTAAAGCGGTTGAATAACACGGACCAATTATTTATTTATGTTGTTTTAGTACTAACCGTAACATAATTATGCTGTCAGTAAGAGGCAGCTGATCGAGATTGATCGATGTTAGCCTAATGTCACGTAAAACATTTGACGTGAACAAATATGTATAATTGATTATATTAGCTCTTCACTTACGTTACAAATTATTGGAGTGTGCGAGTGATGATAAATGATGAATTGCCTGTATCTTTGTAATTAAATATAAATGGGCTGTGACGTATGGCATTTGGGCCCTCTCCAAAAATGCGTCCGAGGACAGAAGAAGTGATGATTTTTGTAATGCGGGCTTTGAGGTCAACACAGGCCGCAGCCTAACCTAACCTAAACTAACCTAAACTAACCTAACCTAAACTAACCTAACCTAACCTAACCTCAACCCCCTGAGATAAAATGAAATTGGGTGAAGTAGAACCCCTCATGCTGGTGAGTTTCCATGCCACATATTAAAACTGTAAATTTAATAGTGTTTGATTTATTTATATTTGAATTTATGGCAAAAAGACCATTTTTTATTGCAACTTGATGTATTTAAACTGCCACGACATTTTCCCTGATCGAGATATGCCCTATAACATACAATAAATTTAATCTAGAGAAAATAATTTTCGGAGGTAATCAGTCTAATTTGACTTTTGGCCTTAAAATTCTTGTTTAAGAAACATTTTTATGCATACTTGAAAGGTGTAACACGTCTTTATTTAAATACGTAACGAAACAAATTGCGTAAATAAATTTCAGGAGTCAATATCTTTCTTATAATAATTATTATTAATTGCGGCCTTAAATGAAGTTGTATTTATTACGAACACAGCGACTTTCGGTCTTTGAAAGGACATCATCAGGGCGCCATCCACTTTTGTGTTACAGTGAAGCAGCTTTGAGTTAAATGTAGTTTTTATTTGTTTTGGTTGGCACGCCTGAAGCGGATTTTTCGCTTGTAGTAGTTGGCTATAATGTACTGAAGTCGTCGACACTGATCCATTTGCAGTGCAAACGGATAATTTTCCGGAAGTTAACATGACACAGTAAGTTATTTCTGTTTTACGACATTACATCATTATTATGTAAGAATGTGCCTGGAGAGAGTAGGTGAGTCGTGGTCTACAGGAAATGCAGGTGTTTCGCATGTGGGCGACGATAGAAGATGATTACGTAACAACTCAGACCCAAGTGTTGGGCTCCTGGTGGCCATGAAGAGGTTATGTCTTGTTTTGAATCAGTCGCTAAACGAAAAACAAGTCACTAATTTCCGCTCATCTTGTTGAATAATTTTCGACGCTTATCTATTCTTGGTAAATCGTCTGGCTTTCTGAAATATCTTTATATCAAATCCCATTGTTGGCTGTTTAGCTCAGAGACTTCGAGGCGTTACTCTCTTGTTTAACCTAACCAAGAACAATGGATTACGTGTCCCTTCAGTCAACAATAAACCTTGTGATCTCGTAACAGGGATTTTTATTTTGCGTTACACTACAATTTGAAGAGAGAACTAAAATTTATCACGAGAGTACACGTGTTTGTAGAAACCAAACATGGCGTAATTATAAGGTTTTGAGTTTGTTTTATTAATCAGTTAAAACAGACATTATTTTACATTTTGGAGCTGAAATTAGTCACAATGGTGGTAGCAATTATTGTTGGTGGTGGTGTTACAACAATGGCTTTGAAGCTGCCACAAATGAATTCGTACTGAGTCCGCCGCGGACGTTTAATATCTGGACGTGCGTGAACAAGGTTCTATTCCAAGTTGTGTTGAGTGCATAGCCCATTGTTGGAAACGGAGACATCATCCGATGGAAAAAGGAGTTATTATATACAAGAAGTTACCCTAAAAATGGGCCGACGTATTACAAGACATTCATTAACAATTAATTTTCTCTTAATTTGCATATTTCATTGTTTACACCGGTTTTGAAGCACTGATGTGCACGAATAGTGTTCCAGGTTTGATGGACGTGTGTTTTACGAAAGAGTATGGCGTGGCGTAGGCATGACGCGCGAAAATCGACCATCGGAACTGAGCGGTGTGAAGTATTGAATGTCAAGGATGATAACCGATAAATATGTGTTAAGGTCACTCTGACCTCGATGTGGGATTTATATAACGCGTTCTGTCAGTCCACATGCTACATCTTCGTCTGTAAGCCCCGAGACAATGCAACAGTGGCGCCACAGTTAAGAACACTTAAGACGTGAGGTTATTTAAGAATTTTGGAATATCTGTTAAAACAGAAACCCAAAGTATAAGGCGTCATTTATGTAAAAAAAAATTCAAGCATGGTGTGAGATAAACTTGGAAAATATCAAGATTCAGCGTAGAAGACTTTGCATTGGTTAATGTTTTATGTATTTCGTATTTTTACTCCTACGACGAGAACTTGACTGTCTGAATTTCGGAATAGAGAGAAACGCTAATTTCCCCGGGGTTGTCTCTCCAAAAGGGAAGTTTTTATTTTTAAATTTACCTTCTTCCCTACGACTTATAATTTCAGGGAAACATTTATATTTTCTGATACCCACGAGATAAATTTTCAGAATAGACAACGTCTGTGATTCTGTATAAACCTGTTTTTGTATTTACGTGTCCCCCCCCCCCACCTATGGACCAGTTTTCGACACATCCTTGAGCCTGATTTTCTAAACGAAAAACTATAAATTTTCCCGAGGTTGTCAATTTACAGTCTTTCCCTTTTGGGAAGAAGTGAGGTTAGGTTAAGCCGGAAATTTAATTATTTCAGTATGTTTAAGAAAATTTAGATGGAGAAAGGTGCCTTATTGTTTGTGTGCATAATTTCCTGTCCCAGAATGTGATTGGTGGCCCTCATCAGTGTTTTAAGGCAGTGCCAGATTTCCTGTTTACTTCGAGGTAACGCCGGGCAGTGGCGCGTTGTCTCGACAGTGACCGCCTGTTCTGTGCAGGCGTGTAGCTGTCCAGGGACGACACCTGGTGCTACTTTTCAGTACCAAAAGCAAACGTATAGCCGGGGTTAGGGATGTGACCAACATAACAAAATATAATCCACGGATTACGCTCCCAAGGGAAACTTAGAAAAGTATGCAATAAAAGTTTTACAAATACGAAATTTTCTCTAGTATTATGATATTCTTATTTTCATCGTTTGTCGATAAAGTGACGATAAAAGCGATGTGATATTTAATCTTGGTTTGTGACAGAGATCGGATATCTTACAAATATAAGAGAATAATTATAAATTACAATTCCGAGGCCCCAAAACCTCAACCAAATTACGCCCAATCGAGTTCAGAGGATTATGATCTTTCCGTAATTTATAGGTTCCTACAATTCTTTCTCGTTCTCTGACTATTATACAGCAAAAAGACTTTCAAATTAACTCGTCACCGGATCTGAGATCTGTCAGATGTTCCATAAATTTTGTTCGCTTCTTCATTCTTTTTATATGCACATTTTCGGGGAAGTGTTTTAAACAGGCCACGACGTATTCTGCCTTAACACTCGCAAACACGTGACTTGCAGTAGCCAGGACTCGGTTTTCGCCAGGGGACTTGCACTTTATGGTGATCGCGGATTTCGCGCCTTTCGCAGAAAAACTGTGGCTTCTGGTTTGCGTTACTGGATTCGTTCTCAGGCGAACTGACCGTAAGTTATTTAACGACACCGTGTCAACGACATGGGTTATACAGGGTGAGTCAAAAGTATGTTTACAAACTTCGTGTGCGTGTTTCAGGATAAGAAATTAGAAAAAAATGTTCCTAGCGATTCTTAAGAAGACACTTGCCACGTCTCCTTGAAGATGTACCACTGAATACAAGAAGACAAATGTCGTTTATGCACTTCTCCCATCGCGTCAGATATCATCTCAATGAACTGTACCCTCAGCGAGGGATTGGGCGTGGTGGCCACCGAGGTCTCCGGACCTCACTCCATTGGACTTTTATCTGTGGGGTCACTTGACGTCCGTCGTTTATGCAACGCCCACAAACAATGAAGACGACGTCTGGGAACGCGTGCAGATGATTCGAGGAAACTCTGGTGTGTACGAACGAATCTGTCAAGTCGTGTGTACGTCGTGCTCGTGCGTGTGTGGAGAATGGAGGAGTAACCTTTGAGCATCTGTTACAAAGAAACATCCCTGTCCTTAAACTTGGCAATAAAGTGATTCATTGAAAATTATTTTTGGCTATTATTTTGGAAAAAAAAGCATTTGTGACCCCATGTTCATAGGAACATTATTTCTGATTTTTGATCCTGGAACACGCCCACAAAGTTTGTAAACATACTTTTGACTCACCCTGTATAGGGTCGAAACTTACTACGGGCATACAGAGTGACAACATTGAAAGGGAATGTGAGTGCGACCGTGGCCTATTTTAAGGTAGACTTAGTATCCTTGAATTTCTTGAATGTACAAACAATAGCGACGAATTATTACAGGATTATGTCCGGTTATCACAAGTGTAGTTTCTCGTAAGAGCTTAAAATAAACCGTGGTTGCTTCATTGACAACTCACAAATATCTTTTGTAGTTGACACAGCGCCTTAAAACTAGCAACACAACTCACTTCCTCTTCGTATCATCTCATTTAATTTGTCATCGCGAAATAACGTGTATAGTTGAGCAATCGTCACCACACCCTCGACGGTCGGAGTGACCTCTGACCCTCGAACACAACTCGAATCGCCGAAGACGAGGTCTGGGGTAGAAGACGTACCTGGTGGGAGCCATGGTGCGCGATCTGGCGTCCAGGGGCGCGAACGAGCGACTGAGCTCCGTTGCCCGAGTCTGTCCGAGGACGAGGCCGCCTTGCGCGGTGCAGAGCACGACGACGGAAGACAGGATAATTGTATTGCGAAGGCCAGCTCGAATAAAGCTTTAAAAGCACAGAGTAGCTCAAAATAATTCATCTTATATAAGTATATTAGACCATATTTTTCTCACTGACACATCTAAAGTAACTATAAAACTTAATATTGTCACTCACCTGACAAAATCCGAATACGTAGGCGTGTATTGACGTGGGAGAATATTATTTCGACGTTTCGGCGTTATCCTGGTCTGTGACGAAGCATAGACTCGTAGTTAGATACAAGCGTTTCGGAGAAGTAAAAGCCTTCCATCTTCAGAGCTCCAGCATACATTGAAATAAATATATTTTCATTACTGGGGGATGAACGCAAAGTTAAATCCGAAATTGCTACTAGGCCTAGGTTTTATATTACCTGTAATTTAGCAAACAATGACCTCTCAAGCTTTAAGTTTATCCGGTTCAATTACCATTTTTTGAAATTTTAGAACTCATGGAACTTTTCTCTTGAGCGGAATTATATCCTCGCTCAAGTTGTGATGTT